AACACAGCAATCCAGACTATCGAGTTCGGTAAGCGCGGACTCGATACAGACACCTCGTCATTTGAAAACACGGAAGCGGAGTGCGCCGCGAACACAGACGCACGCTCAGTTGAAGGTTAGGGGCTGTCCGTTCGAGTCCTCTAGCATTGCCGGATCACCTGCCGGCTTGAGGCGCCGCTACGTGTGATCAAAGATTTTTCGGAGCGGCCTCTGCAGCGAATGCAAGTTGCTCCTCGAAATGGCGGCGCTTGCTTTTTTTGTACTATTGTTGCTGTTTATAAGCCTCATAGTCATAGGAAGAGCCGTAGAGGAATTTTTGCCACAATTTGCGCCGCCGCGGAGCCACTTTACCATACTACTTGTCAAACCAATGCGGGTTGACTGGTCCAACGTTCGGACACTTCAGTGGGACAAATTGAGGACACAGTAATGTCCCTCACTCTTTCATAACAGTCTAACAGCCTTCCGCAAATGTAGGTTGCGGTAGAGACCAATCTACTTGGCTCGCGGCTCGAGTTAGATCGTCGAAGTCAGTTTTCCAGTAGTTGTAAGCTTGCTCCAGCGGACGGGAATACGGTAAAGATAGATCCATACTGGCTATGAACATTGGGTGGTCGCTTGGTGTGCTAAGGTCTCTAGAACCTGAACGTAATACACACGTTGTGGTGGCAGTCGAACTGTTCGCTGAGCTTGGCAAGTCTGTTGCAAACGTTTCGTCACCAGTCGAAGTGACATCATCAGTGCGTTGTTGAACAGTGTGTAGCGAGCAGCGTATCGTAGGAAGCCTCGATGAGAGTGCGCTGGGTATCGTGCGCGTGCGTTTATGTTCCCGTGTTTCGATGCGGAGGTGAGCAATCCTATTAGCTGGGACATCTGTCCGTGTTCAGTTAGTTGGGCAGGTAGTTGACCTGGTTTGTGCATTGTGAACATTGCCTGGTTACTGCAGTACTCTGTTATGTGGTCCGCCCCGTTTCTCTGGTGTATGGCGTATGCTGCGTCCAGTTCGGTTAATTGAATTAGCTATGGAGTGCCGTGCTTCCAGAAATTCTCTCGCATGCTTTGTATTCCCACGCGCCAGAATCATTCGCATTTTCCACATCGAAGTGGTAGCCTTCTTGGTTATCCTGTGTGGAAACCAGCGAATTCGGCGGCTTTGTGCTCGGTGACACGTGTACGAAGCTTCCTTCCAGTTTGTCCAACGTAGTTCTTGTCATATTCAGTGTATTTTATCTGGTAGACAACTCTGTTTTGGTTGCTCTGATCAACTTTATCCTTAGGCTTGGAAACCAATTTCCTTAAAATGGCACTTGGTTTGTGGTCCACCGAAATTCCATGTGGCTGTAGTAACCTTCTTGTCAGTTCAGAAACGTTACTGATGTACAGGAGAACTACTCGTTTATTTGTCTGCTCTCGTGGCTGCTGTCGTTACTGAAGGGTTCGTTTTCTTAAGGTTCTTCTGATGGAGTTACTCGGATAACCGTTGTTTTGAAATACTCGGTATAGGTAGTTTCCTTCTGGCCTTCTCAATTCAGTCCTACTGCAGTGCAAGCATTGAGTTGAACGTACTCCAGAAAAATCGAAACCGCGTATGGGTAGAAAATTGGGACAACTCACATGTGGCTTCGGAGATGCGGCAGCGAACCCAAACAATCACTGAGGGGACTGTGATAGAATGCACACACGAACAGGTCCCCGCGCCTGAGGTGGATCGAGCATCACAGCTGCTCACATAAGCCATCTTCGCTAATATAGACACTTACAACCCTCCCATAGGGGGACGACCGGATATAGAGCAAGATGCCGCCGCGGGCAGTCGATAGACTACCGTAGCGGAAGCATGAGTAGTCACTGAGTTCGATTTCCTGGACTATCACCTCAGAATTCAGCCACGTCTCTGCAAGTCTAACTACGTCTGACCGCTTAGAAGTAACGAAACGACAGAGTTCATCGCGCTTGTTTGTAAGTGCAAACGTTGGCAAAGGTTACATGCAAGCCGCAGCAAGAAGCACCGGACGTGCTTGAAGTGCGAGAAACTTGCCTATCCTGCTTCGTACAGTCTTTGAAAAGACCCGAAAATTTATGATACGGATATTTGTTTCCCCATCACCATTTCGTCGCTTCAGCTCAGTGATGACAGACTTGAGCCGTACTCGATCCACCGGATCCAGGTCTGGACGAATATGGATCATTGAGCCTTTAAACCTATCTAAGCGGGACAAGATCAGCCTCGGACTGATTTCATTCACAAAGGCGATTCTCATTGGTCGACTTTGTTGATCACCTTTCTTTCCAAGACGGGTAATCTGCGTCACTTTCAACCCGTCTTCACTTACGTCTATCAAGTAGGCCCTGTAAAAACTCGACGAGATGATCGTAGCGCATTTGAGGAGTTGGATCACTGAAGTCGGGTGCATGGAAGATTATATGGTGAGAACGTCTCTGATCGGCCAAAACTGACCTTACAGGGGGAAGATTTTCCTGAGCTTCACGTGGTCTGACCTGCCATTGATTTGAAGTGGCTGAATTCTATTTATTTTTCTGCTTTTTTGTACATCCCACGTGTCTTCAGTAAACAGGCTTTCACACACCGGGAAATATGCGCCCGTAGGGAAAAGATTCGTGTCAGATGAAACTGGGCTGCTCGCAACGACGGAATTTCGTGCCGGCCAGTTTGCACTGGACGAACAGGAAAACTTGTTACTGGTCACAACGGAACGATTCATCCTACAAGACGGTTTGCGATTCTGCTCCACTTTTTCCGACCGTATCTCGTTTCGGCAATTCTTACACAAAATTTGAAGAATATCATGTTGGATATCCCTAAAACGACGAAAATGCTCAATCGATAGTCTAATGCATGAAATGTGGAATTCAACGTGACACACAACACATGTAAGTGCATTTGTTCGACTTCCGACAACACTGGAAGAGACATCGCAAGGTGATTGTTTTGGCACTATGAAAAATCCGAGACCAAGGTGGCGACCAATTACGGAGCACAAAGCGACAGTAAGATTTTCGAAATTAAACAGAGATAACACAAGTATTTATGGTAGAAAAATCCTGAATCATGAAATAATTCCAATGCACAAAGAAATCCAACAGGCAATAATATCGTTAACACAGCAAAAAAAGTATTAATCGGAGGCCGCTAACCGTAAACAAACGTAGGTTTGTGTAACCATCTTTGCGCATCACACGATTTCTTCGCAACAGATACCCCGAGCAACTGTCAACGATAAATCTCATTTTAAACCGGAGCTCAGGTGGGCGGTTTTTTCGTATCATTCAGACGTTTCCCTTAACACATCAGGTTACAGTAGCTTCGATGTACCATCCGTTTCACCGACTGCACGAACTTGTACTTACTGCCACTCATATGTGCGCACTATGCTGTCGCAGATACTGAATACTCAGAAAACAGTGCTTGATATGTTGTGACATTTACTAGTCAGCTCCAACGGAAACTGACAGATAATCACAGGATTTGGTCAAAACAAACGGATTGCTTAACTGAAACCGTTAATCCCATTGGAGATGCGTTGAAGCAATCTATCCCAGTTGTTCCGCAGATCCGTCTCTTTCGGTAACGTCCATGAACCAAGACAGCTTTCGATGCCTCCCTCATCGACGGCAGGATAAACAAAAGACTTGTAACGTACAATAAGTGCCTTATCTATATATTGCACAGATAGAATATCTCAAGTGAATTCATGGTAACACATTGTTCGAGGGCACGAGGAACACTGCAGAACGCATGTTCACATGTTTCTTGGCATCAGATATTGATTTTTCTGGCGCAGTAAATATACCAGTTTTATGCCGTAGTACCATACTTTCCTGTTGCATTGGGGTAAGTGCAGCAAAAGCAATTCATATGTTGCAGCCACTCTTCTGAGTTGCTTCGGAACAGATGGTGCGAGTCCCGCCATGTTCGCCACAGATAAACAGGCGATCACACACCCTGCCTAGCAACAAAGTAAGCTGCATATCTTGCTGGCTTAGGGGGCCAGGATTCTAGCTTTTTCTAGGTTGCGGCTTCCAGCCATATGTTTCGCCAGCATGTATGTAGAAAAGTGCCGGTAAGAGATAGGACTATGCCGGGGTTTCCGCCCATGAACAGGTGACAACGGCAGTGGGCACCTTGGCTCTGATTCGTTAGTACACTGAAACGCGATTGGTTGGCTGGTGCTATCTGGTTGGGTGCTATGCAAGGTCGCGAGCGATATGCCATACATTCAAATGGGTTACCAAGCAACGTCTCACTTGCAGACCTGCCGCTTTTGATATATGAGTCGTTCGCTGAATTGATTTACCTCTGGGCCTGATTAAGTGCGATTCGTCGCAAATCTACTCATAAATGGCTCACTGTGCTATCAGGGTTGGTGCGTTGCCCAATACATCCAGCGTTCGTTCCCTGGCTTACAATGCTCCACCGAGGTGTAGCGAAGGGCAGTGACCATTTCGTGGCGAGTCACATTAATCACATCGCAGTATGGTTAAACGGACATGTGTGGCATTTTATTGGGAAAACGTTTGCTAGGCGAAAACTCACCACTTCCTGAAACACTACCGCTGAATAATTCGCTGGAACGGGTCATACACGAACACAGCTGGTACCACAAGAAGATGGGTCAACAAAGCATATGCCGTGGTGACCGATTGACCCGCCGTTCAAGGGATGGAGAGCAAGCTAATGGTCGATTGGACAGCGCAAAACATTCCCCAGAATGGCGACACGGTTACAATTTCACGTATTTATATAGGACTCGGCTCGATACAACTGGGCGCAAACACCCTTTGTACCCGCACTGTTTTCGGTGGTTATTTAAATTTAATGTACAGGGCTATCAGATTATATAACTGATTACCGTCTCGTTTCAAAACACAATACCGATGAAAAGAGGTGATGATCTTAGCAACTAAATAACACACCGATAGGACACAAAACGCAGAGACCCGCAATGTACAAGTCGGAAAACCCCACTTCGACTAACTACCTGTTCAGGTGTCAGACCGCTGTAGCAGAACATGCCAATTTGGTTTTCAATATGGGACCAATTTCGTTTGGAGCCCTCCTTCGTTAGGTTCTTGACGAGACTCCTGCGCATGGAAATGATACGGTCCGCCAAAGACTTCACATCGCGTAGCCTAAAAACAAAAAGCAGTGTGTGAAAAAATACAAGAATGCATTACAAAATAACAAACGTAAGGTTAATCAGCACTAGCGTTTTGAAGCAGCAAATTATGATGTGGGGGAACAGCCAATCTAAACTAATCTAGAATAAATAAGACACCACAATCAAGGTATCACGAATGATACTATCAATGGTAGATGTGGGTTGTCCTAGGGTAGAATCACATGGGCACTCTGGTTATCATGAAAAAATGTAAGCTCATCCCGACAAGAGAACAAATCACGCCACACATAAACTGCGATCTCAGAATCACCAAAAACAGCAGTATATTAACCACTAGAACTGATGCTTCGATGCCATACAACTACAGGGACCTACGGAACGAAGAATAATAAGAGGCAGAGAAGGGGGAATTACCAGGAAACGTTAATGCCCTAGACAAACAGTCAGGGTCAAGGCACCTACACCTTGCCAACAACATACAGTCACAAACAGCTGGCTATCGCGGCAAGATAAGGCGGTATCAGCGAGACAGCTTTCTTGCGGCTTTCACTGCCACGCGTCATAAGCAGCCATAAACCCCGTAGGTAATTCAGCACCAAACACACTTTAAACAGACAGTCCGACCACGAGACGGCAGAAGACGCGCCAATGGTGCCGAAAGCGAGCTAAGTCCTGTAACGTCTCGAACCAAGCACAAGGCGGGTCACGTGGACTCTAGCCTGCAATGCGAGACGGACCGACAGCACCGAGTTTGGTCGTCAGTAGCTTCATTTCTCACTACCAAGTTAATTTTTGCCCACCTCGGGCCTTGCTCCACCCTACATTTGGCAAACAAAACAAAGCCCTCCTCGGTAAGCGGTGATCGGGCACACGCAGTACGTGCCCAAGCCAACGCAACTTATTCAGTTCTAAGGAGCTAGCATGATTATCACAACCTAGCACTCACCTACGCACATCATCGTTGCGGACTCGCTAGTGCCACCAGACAACAGCTATGCTTCGCAGACAACGATGGTCAAAGACTTGAAGGTGCCTCATATCATCAGACCGAAGGGGCCAAATTTCAATACCATAGTGTAGGACGGCCCTTACTGTGTCCTTGTAAACACGGTCTCGTAGATCGAGGAAAACCCATTTCTGACACCGAAGATATCGAAGACTCAAAAAAGCAGTTCTAGCTTTTACGCCCATCGTTGCTGATGCAGCTGTCGAAATAAGTGAATCGATCAGTTACCTCAAATTCCTCTCTACCAAGGGTCAAGGAATTATCAAGTGGCTGGTGGTCATGCAACAACATATTGCACTTTGAAGGTGCGAAGTACATGCCAAATAATGGTTAACTAGGGTTGAAAGCGTCGCCACGATATCGTCAAAAAGCAAGACCTTATCGTCCGCATAATCGAGATCAAGTAGCTTTTCACCAGATAGGACCTCAACGCATACATCGTAAGATTCCGCAAGGAAACACTCCAATAGGGAGTAAACGACGAAGTTGAAGAAAAGCGGGGGAATGGGGCAACCCTACAGAAAACCACTTGTTGTCGGGAAGGTTTCCGATAAGTGACCGTAGACACCGAAGCCACCGGTGGTGTTTGCATAGAGAGCACGTCAACTGTTCACGTATTTCATGCGAACACGTCCGCACAAGTATTTCGAGGAGAATGAACTGATCGACTGAATCGAACGCACTCGAAGTCCAGGAATGATACTTGTGACGCTGCTCTAGTATCTGTCGCAATGTGAATATGTGGTCTACACAGCCCCGTCCGGGGTGGAAACCTGCTTACTCTTCCCTAATCCGGGATTCCCGTTAAACAGTGAGGCGATAAACGAGAATCGAAGCCAATAATTTTGTCACCATCGGCGTTAGGCTAGTACTCCTGTGGTTAGCACAGTCGATGCGACTGCTCTTCTTGTATATTGCCACTATAATCAATTCACTCCAGTTAGTTGGGATGGTCTCTTCCTTCCAGATATGTTCGAATAGCCAGGTCAGTGCTTAACAGAGAACCTCACCACCATCCTTAAATATTGCAAGTAGGAGGGAACTTGGGCCAACAGCAAGAAAAGGATTAAGGGCTGTGGTCGCGTTTCGGACCATAGCCTCCGACGGACGCTCTAAACTAACCGTCCATGGCTCGTCCTGCATCACTTGAAGAGGAAGAAGTCCGCAAGCAGAGGGCCAGCTAAACTGATCTTGAAAGTGTTCCGCCCAACGAGCCATACGGCCGTCCTTACTGTGTATCAGTGCACCCGCGCTGTCTCTGATTGTCTCACTGATGCCTGGTTTCCTGGGACCAGTGGTGCGGATCAGCTGGAAGAGTTTACGGTAATTGCCTACTGCTCCTGCCTCCTCCATTTCTTGAGCCCTACTGGTCCACCAGACTTTCTTGTCAGCACGTAAACTCCGCTTTAGTTCGCGCCTAATAGCCCGTCTGGTCACATTGTGCTCAGAGCCAGCCGGGATGTTTCTTATGGATTCCAACAGGTTCACCGAACTCTCGGTTATCCAGTGACTGGTCTAGTGACGACTGACAGTATCACAAGCAGAGGTTCCTGAGTCGTGCAAGGCGGCCGAGATCATATACCACTGAAGCTCAGTGTCATTAGGACAAGAGAGCTGCAGATGGTTCGACTCCAGTGTCATTACAGCTTTTGTCAATTAAGCTGGGGATTATAGAAAAATGGTTAGTGATGGGTTTGTTTGAGGAGTAAGAGAAACCGGTGGAAAAGAAAGAAGGAAGGCGCCAACACTAGCATGTTTTTGCTTATCCTACTTGCTGTGTGCAGCAGATAAGGCGACTCTTGAGAACGTGCGCGACGGCTGACGCAGCATGTGATTGAAGATGGAAGGCACAGTCAAAGTTGTACGTGGGCTGAGATACTGCCAGTGCGCCCAGATTTAGACAGAAGGACGATTAGGGTACCCAACCAAAGCGTTTGGCTCAAAAGCCTGTCTGCCAGGCAGCGCGGAGTTGGTAATGATTTGGTTTTATAGAAGTGGACTCCATGCCATCTCAAACCCCCAACTTCGGCGGACCAGGAGAATGAGTGTCTGACATCTGTCTTCTCAAGGGACCTAGGGGAACCACACAGTATAGCTCAATGGGTCAAAGAGTACGCAAACTGTCGAACCACGTTAAGGTCCAGTTGTTGCGACGGGAGGTCTCAGGAGTAAAGAATGATGCTTCCAATGAGTTACTACAACGAATTTGTTCGTTAGCGCTGACTCATTGCTGATGGACAGTGCCGATGCATGAGTCAAGAAGCCGCTTCAAGCTCCATGGGTGAGCTAACTCACTATGAACCTCATATTGTCATTCAGAAAATTCCAAGTAGATAACGAAGGTATTGCTGAATCGGATCGAACTACTCGTCCATACTGGGAAAACGTAGCACCATGATTAAGCAAGGGTCACCGAGGAAACTCAGAAAACAAAATGACACACGTACTGACACATCCACACTAACCTCATCGATTCCAGCTGCGATCAGTGTCTTTCGTTACGGCTTTTAGACAACAAGCACAGCATGGGAATATCACGCCATCTGCAAAATAGACAACGAACAGATTGGTACAAGTACGTACACCCACTGTAAAGGTGGCGAAGATGGCACGATCCCTGCCGACACTTGCGTATGAGATTATGTGTATAGTTCAACAGGATTGCAATGCCTCGTCGGGCGACGCTCCAGGATGCCAAATAGTAAAATAAATAGATGCGTCAAGATGCGACAATTTCCTCGATAAATGCCATCAGAACAATCTTACCAACGTTCAGAAACCTCCGTAGACATGATGTCAGCGGTGTACCTGTACTCGGTATCTCCATCCAAGCTTACAAATTTCCCACCCGGTTTACTTTATTTTTCAAGCAACTTGATATCAACGTCAGTTTACAGTTCCCAGCGCCGCGATTTTAGTACAGTTAAACTGAATTCATGTGTACTTTGTGACAAGCCGAGAATTGAATTAACACATTTGCACATGAAACCAGTGACACTAGTGCATAAAGTACAGCCAACGTAGCGTGCTGAAGGCGCTTGCCCGAAGTCTACCTACCTGTCTTTGCGCATACCCAAGATGTAGCTAAACAGGTAAAGGTTGTCCTGATTTAGACAAGCGGCCTTTCTACTACTAATGAGAGCTCAACGGACCTAAGCCAGTTGTTTAACAAGAGGCTGACGCTGATGCATGATGGAAACATCCGAAGATGCACTCATAATGGTAGCACCGTCTTCAACACTCGTAATAACGAATTGCCTCAAGCGTTAAGCAGAAAGATCAGATTCAGAAATGTTTCCCGCGAGCAGCAGCCGCATAGTGACATGGTGCCCACCAGCCTCGGGCCAGTCATAGATTCAAATCGATCACATCGTGATCAGTTACTATTGGAGACGCTGCGTCCAAAAACTCGCTCGATTTAGAGCATCAAGGTGGACTCCGACCTCGCTGGCATCCAAACTATGTAATCGCTCTTTGAACAAAATGGAAGGCCACTAGTCGCACAGCTACCAGACGTTATAAGCAGCAAGCATGTCTTCATGTGGCAAATCAAATAGCCCACCTAGACACTGGATTACTACACTGTCTCTGGAACTTTTGGAGGCTCGCCAACACACTCCTGATTGGAGCAAAAACAACAAGACTCGCTAACATTTCAGGGCAAAACTGTGTTACCCTGAAGGGAGACCGCGAGCCCCCGTGATCTCATGGTGTGCGAAACGGACAGCAGGAGACCTGGTGTTAGCGAGACCATATGCGACGTGGAGAATGGACAGCTTATCCAAAGCTTGTTAAAATTCTTGCAGTGTCGAGCCGAACACTATGAAAAACAGCTTATTCATCCAGTTACCAGCTCCTCTATCGGCTATTGAGCACCGTCCTCCCTGGACCACCGCCCTGGATCCAAACTCACCCGCAGAAGTCGCACGCAAGATCAGGCTGTTCAAATTGAATACGGCCACGAGAGCAAATAGACTTCCTCCAGTCCTCTTCAGAGTAGGGGGAACAGCTATCATGGATGACTTGCATGACTTATTAACGAAGATGTTGGACCAGGAGATTGTCAACGCAGACTAGAGCCGCTCCGTTATAGTTCCAAATTTCAGGGGATGCTCCCTTTCGGATTGCAGCAATCATAGAGGAATCAACCTGCTCTCAATTGCCTCAAAGTTACAGCCTCTGTCGTCTTCCAAAGATTGCCTGGCCGCCATGAGAGCCAGGTTTCGTCAAAATGGAGGCTATATTTACCACATCCGCACATTACGCCACTTGTTGGAGCACCGCCATGTTTATTGGCGAGCCACTGTAGTCGTGTTCCTCGACATTAAAGATGCCTTCGATTGGGTGGATCGATGTGCTCTGAAAGACTGTCTAACGAGGAAGGGTATATCAGAGAAATATGTAGATGTCACAAGAGCGCTGTATGCCCATAGTTCGGGCTTATGGCAAACTATTTCCGCCCTTCAATACCTCAAGCGGTGTGAGACAAGGTTGCCCGCTGTCACCTATTCTCTTTATCTTTGCCATTGATGAAGTCATGGAAACTGCATGCATCGAACACGACTTGGAAGGTGTGGAGCTGCTCCCAGGTAACCGACTTCTTGACTTGGAATACGTCTACGGCAGCAAGTGTGCCGAGCAGCAGTGGATAAATTAGTTACGGGGGTGAGACGTTCCAGGCCATACTTTGTACCATCGAAATGAGAAGTTCTTTTCCAAGACTAGCAAGGGCCCATTCCTTCGCTGGCCCTTAGCGGCGACTAGTTAGAAGTCGTTCAGAAATTCAAGTCTCGGCAGATAGATTGGCATCCGTGAGATCGATGATGAGAGCACCAACCGTATAGCAAAAGCTCGAGGTGCTTTTGCCAACCTACGCCTCTTGTGGCGCCGGCGTGACATCACTCGCCCTGAGGGACAAAAGTTACAATGCGGCCGTCCGTTAAACTCTCCTATCTGGTGGTGAAACCTGGACTATCAGATCGGCAGATGTAAAGAGGCTAGTTACGTTCGACCATCGCTGCCTTCGCAGCATACCTCATATCTGGTGGGAACACCGTACATACAATGAGCGTGCTCTGCATCGTGTATTTGGTGCAGAAAAACGAGTGAACCGCTCAGCACCATTAGATCACGCACCATGCTCCGATGGCTGGACCACGTGTTGCGCATGTCATCACACCGACTTATGCGACGTGTTGTTTGGGCGACCGGGATGTAAATTGAAGAGGAGGGGAGGATAAACGATGACCTGGTCAAGAGAAATGAAGTCCATCACTTCAGATTTTGCGTCGGTTGGCGTCTCTCGACTGCCTGGCCGGAGTCCTAAGGACGAGGAACACTTGTTGACATGGCAAAGAACTGACCCCAATGGTGTTCGTGTTGTGAGTTTCTTTACCCCACATCCTCTCGCGTAGCTTTCACCTCCAACCACAATCTCACACCCCATACTACTTTTCGGTTTTTTATATTGTTTTCTGCAATGTTCTGTATCACACTTCTTCATTTATCTTATCTTTTCGTATCTCGGCACATTGGTTGAAGTGTGTTACTCAGCTTCAGCTAACGTGTAATGCTTGTATGGATGTTTAATGGGTCTGCTAGGTGGTTGTGGGATATTTTCTCCCATTCCGACGACTATCCATCTCCTACACTTGAAGGCTCATTGGGAAGAAGAGCCAAATCAGCTGATTGAGAGAGACAGTGCCCACCGTAGCTAAAATGAATATATTCTTAGAGTTGCTGTTTAAAGGTGTCATTGCTACACTGTAGGCTATCAGGCGTCTGAGCTCTGACACACAGAGCACCTGTGCTGCCGAAGTCATCATTACCTACAGAACCCACATGATGCCGTTGCCTCCATTGAAGGAAACTCAGTTTGTACCATGGTAGACTCTATCGGTTTCCAAGTTTGCCATCTGATGACCAAGAATGTTTGCTGGAATCCATCTTTGAGATAACAATTGGTCTCAGTACGAAGCGCATTTGGTGCTCAGCATGTTTAAATACGTCACAATTACAATGCATACACACATAGACACGATCGGTGACTCCTGTGAGCTCATTCACCTGTCTGGTTTGCAATGAGGAAAGTAATACCAAAGTAACAGTAGATGGAAAGCGTTTTTCGAATCAGAATAGACAAAATTAGCGACGCGCTCACCACATGCTACGTAAGTTGCTGTCGGAGAGAACTTCCGTTGCAATACGGGCTCCGTGGATGGGCGGATTGCTGTACATACTGCGAATAATGATTTTTAACTGTGACAGACAGCGTTCGGCCTCTTCAGTGGACGAACACAACATGGTTAGTGCCCCAACACGCTCGCCGTACAGTCCCATATTCTTCGCAAAGCTCTGCGTGATGAACATTGATGGAAAACGGAGGTTCTCCACGAAGTGGCGTACAGCTGCAGCGTCGCGATCCACATCGCCCGAAGCGAACCCCTTCGGAAATGGATGAGAATTATAGCTACGAAAGCTGCACAAATAATATGAAAGAAAAAAAATTACAGCGTCCGAAAAATTGCATGAGAGCGTCATCTGAATCATGAGAGTGAGCTAATGCCAACGACTCGGAAAAGTCAGAACAGAGTTAGAAGACGTGGTGAACGTCAATTAACACAAATTAACAGTGCTTTGCCGAGTTTAGTTAAACAGAAAGCTTCATGCGGGGGTCAGGGTGTAACCAATATCTAATCGAAAATTCGCAATTTTCAGGGTCCGAAGCAAGCTGTTCGCGGCTAGTCGTACTTGTTGTGGTGTCATCTGTCCGTCCAAACGAGCATAATTTGCGTCTAAAGTGACCGCCGCAGTGTTTCAGTCAGAACGAGTGATCGAGTGCCTATCGTAGACACAAATCTAAAGTGGAAACAGTCGGATCTCAAACCACAAAGTGGTCATGACAATTCTGACGAGGATAGGCCCACGGATAATTCGCAGTACTATTGGATGGTGCACAAGCAAAGCAACCGAGTGGGAATGATTGCGATAAGATAAATCACCATCAAAATGGTATCCCAGCGTCTAATGACCATAGCCAGTTAGAGTCTAGCTGAGGGTATCGACCTTAAGATGGTAGCTAGTATCGAGCCTTCGTTACCAGCAACAGTCGATCACTCGCACCGACGCAGGATCAAACCGGTGACCTGTGGGAATTACGAACCAGACGCCTGAACCACTCGGCACCCATCGATCGAAGGGCTTGGTAAACCCTGACTCATAAGCTGAAGTAAACAAGGAGACAGTTTCCATAATAGGCTGGCCAAGCAGAGGAATGCGCTATCTATAAGGATGAATGGAACAAATGCGACGTAAATGGGTCCGACCAAGACCAAGCTTGAACACCCTAAGATCAAGCGTTCAATGTGAGTTGAACAAAGTTTTCACCAAATCGCTCCACAAAGTGACATTTTTCACAGCGCTTAAGCCAAATGGGGTCAACTCTTTGCAGAAATTTGTTTTGGCGAAGTGGGTCGAGGTAAACAGACAGTGGATTGATGGTTGCACATTTCTGTTCCACCTATCAAACTCAGAACCACCGCCTGGCTATGCGCATCGATGCACACTTCGGTTAAAATGATTGTCTATGCATAGATGTGGTGAAGTGTGTTACCAACGCTGTCACGTCAGAAGGAGTGCGTTAATCGAACACAGGGTGTGGATGCCAACAGAACGGCGGCTCAGTGCCAGAGCCACGTATACTCAAGACAAGTAGCGATTGAGGCCACGAAAGATGCCGCACTCCTATTAGAATGGACATGAAACAATGCACACGGGGTTAAAATCATTATGATTGTGTTAGCAATGGCTAGAAAAGCGATAAAATTTGATAGCGGTTGATAAGTGGAAAAGTAAACGAAAAACGGAGGTGACAGAACCTACGAATGTGCCCAATGACGGAAACTCTAACCCAAAAAATATACAGTGCGTCAAAAGTTTATCTTAAGAGAAGATATTCTAAGTGGAGCGTCGAACAAGCGAGTTGTGGAATGAGCCAAAAGTTATGTGCAAATGAGTAAAGTAAGTAAATTAAAGTAAGTAAGCACCAGATGTCATTATTGATCCGTGATGCTAAAGACAGGATGAATGCTGGTCGCTGATGAAAAGAGTCTGATCAGAGTCCTGGGCATTGTTGCCAGTATCAGCATCAATATCTGTACAGTAGTATCCTGCAATGATGCCTCGCTGGCAAACAACCAGAATGAGCTCACTATACTGAGGAATGATGAGAGAAAAGAGCAGCAGCAGTACGCCATTACGCAGTAGCGACGCTTCGCTGCAGCGCAACCAACACTAGTCGCACGTGGGCTAAGGATACTGCGAAGGTCGCCCAGTCCACTACTCAGACTCGAATCCGCGCCCTCGGATTACAAGGCTGGCTTGTTATCCTTAAGCGTACGTGATGGTAAAAATGGGATCTGATGCAGAGGTTAAATGCGCAACGCAAATATTCTGGATCAAGAGGTTCGCGCCGAAACAACAGCTCATGGTCACAGATGATTGATTACGTGGAGAATAAGTAGCATCGATGAGACAACTTTCCCATGGATCCCATTACCCCATGCCTAAATAAACAGTACTCAAAGACAGAGCAGTACTGCACACCTTTTAAGCAAGAGGTTAGGCTGGGGAACTATTGTAAATTCGCCACCGGTGCCTGTTGCCAGCCATACTCGGTATACAAGTGCGGAGCAGACCTCATAAATTTCAGTCAAGAAGAAGAGGGGAGACAAGCATCACAAACTATAATGACCATTAACTTTAATTCTAACAGAAAGACCAACGACATGAGCACAGCCCCCTTGATTCAGTTAGAAAGAAAGGACAATATCAAATGAACAGCAAGTGTCCAAAATAACCACAAATCACTTAGTCTCACAAATTAGTCCCTACTGCCTAGCACAAGGCGGTGTGTCCTATCGCTGTGGATACCCTGGTGTCAAGAAACGAGTAATGTATGCTTGAAGATCATAAATGTCCATAGGCCAAAGAGCCATCTATCAATACAATAATGGGCCATGATTCTCAATATGATCCTGAACCACAGCTATTAGGATCAATCGGAATACCTAGAGCCAATTCCTGAAAAAGGACGAATTATATAACAAGGTGGGCCAATTTCAGCAGTCAGAAGCGTGGAGCGAAAGGTTCAGATGCTAGGATGAATTGGTAAAGCAGATCCCTTTCGTCGTAGTCAAGGATCAAAAGTTGCTAACGGTCTTGTAAAAGCACTTGATTATGAAGGTACGAAACGCAGACCAAAAGTATCGCCCCGGAAGATTTGTCCGCGGTTGACAATGCAGCCACATTATCGTCCAAAAGTAAGACGTTACCCGCATAATCCATTTCAATCATTGATTGGAGTGTCGTTTGAAATACTCCCTATGTGAATGGATTGCGACACGCAATCTCAATTTAGACCGCGATTCACACTGAAGTGAACATTGGTCAATGCGATCGCTAGAACCGTGGCCGAAGCAGATGGAAATTGGGTGAAGTCCGCACGAAAACACAGCCCCGAAAGATTTGGTCGCGGTTGATTGTGTCGCCTCGTGATCGTCAAAAAGTAAGACGTCACCCGCATAATCCATCTCAATCATCTTTCCACTTTTGGACAACACCTGAATACGTGCATCGCGAGGTTCCAGTAGGGAACGAATTATGATGCAGATCACGGTAAAAGTGGGTGGAAATGGGAAAGTGGTAGAGAACAGATGAACAGCAATTGTAACAGGAAAAACGTATGATAATTCACTGTAGATCCTGACACGAATTGAAGCACTCGAGTACGAGGTATGCAAAATGTTCACAATTCTACGAGAGTTATGGGAGTAAATATATCGAACGTCACGGAGCGATTGATGAAATAGAACACCCTCTTGGAACTGAGGAGGGCAGCCATATTCCGCGTGCGGTACATTTGATGCTGACCTGACGTGGGGCGAACGCATATTCCACACCGCCTTGAGAGGATTGTTGTGTTCTCCGAACTAGGCAATTTTGTTGCAGACGTTCCGTTGCCAAACTAGGCAATATCCTCAGTGCGTTCTGCGGGGCCTGGCATTCACGCCAGAACTCAATCAACAAGCATCTAGAACTCGAAGGGGTCTACGAAGCTCTGCATGTGAAGTCAAAAATAAGTACCAGATCGACAGGGCGTAGACGTGGCCACCTGAGCCAATCGAAGATACATTCAAAGCAAGAGACGATCAATACTCACTTGGATCTGGTAGTGGCTTACGATATTCTGCAAATCAGACCTCTAAAGCCGCACTGAGGATTTTGCCAAGTTTGGAAACGAAACGTCTGCAACAAAATTGCCTAGTTCGGAGAACACAACAATCCTTTCATCCACATCCCGAGCTACAGGTATCACAATAATTTCCACACCGCCTTGTCCAAAACAGAGACCGGTCGGATTCTCTCTCGTTCGGGAGTAATGATTTCGCAGTAAAGCAGTGGACGATTATGAGTGCCAATAAAGTAGTAACTACTTATTCAAATTGACATTTCTGTAGTTGGCACAAATATTGCAAATGCTACCTTTGAATGGTTCCACCATGAACAATCCACCAGTTAGCTGAAAGTTTTTTTTCTCCGTAACCGTTCGAACAAATTGGTGAATTTTTGTAGATGACATGGAACTGTCATTCAACAACGGGGTCAAGAGAGAATCCGGGTCGATAGTTTAAAAGTTAGGGGTTTTAAAATCAGCCACAGGTGCAGCTGCCAGGATGAATGGATCCGTAGTAGTCAAAGAGCAAACTTAACCGGCCGCCGCTCAATCTGTGTCACGTTAGCATGAGGCTCAGAATCAGGAGGCCAACTGAACAGCTCCTGAAAGTGCCTCAACTAACGAACCAGAAGACGTGCCTTATTATGAATTTTGGGACAGATGCTGTTACTGATCGCTTCATCAACACATGATTCTATGTGACCAGTTTTGGAGATAAACCAGGAGCATCTGCAGAAGTTGCCAGTTGCATGATCATCTTCGGTTTCCTGGGAGTTGTAAGAATATCAGGCATCCTTGTTTGTATGAAGGTTCCGTTTCAGATTACAGCTGACAGCATGTTCTATCTCACTGAGCTCAGTACAACAGGTAACCTTTCACATGCTTTGCCGGCTTTGGATACCCGGTGCAATGTGCTGTAATGGTTGAAAGCGTGTTAAGAAAAAGTTCGACGCCACACATGGTAGCGAAATCTCTACGATGTTGAAACTCGATGATCTTAGAGAAAACTGGATGAAGATTCGATATGTATGGCATTCTGATAAGTCCATCTAATCGTAATTTAGAGCTTCTCGGTTGCAGTTAGAGGGAATGGAGTGCTACGTTCCATAGTGCATTTCCAAGAAAATCGACAATGATTAAAAACGGCGCACATGTTTCAAACAAGCAGCGGTCAACGATAGAACATCAAGGTCGGATGCGCATAGTGACGCGATCAAATGGAGTCCATCGCTGTCAAATTGCAGAAAGACGCGAAGTAGTATTTCGGTGCCCATTGCAACCAAGGCTAACATGGCATGGAAACAGCATATTTTCAACGCACAGTTGTAATAAACTTTCACCAGCGCCCGTGCACTCAGGATTGAGTCGAAACATATTAAAGAACAAACATCCTAAAAGCCAAAGGAACAAGTTAGTGCAATCACGTCCCAGTCATCCTGAATTACACTGCTCGCAATGTTTGGTAAAGCTGAACTTCCAGGCAAAGGACGTGTTGGGCAGCATCAGGACTGTAGTCGGTTGGGGTATATGCATCAACCAAGAAGGAATATTGCCCGGAGCCGTTTCGTGCGCTAGTCTCAGTTGAGATTATCAAATTGCAATGTAGGCAACTGTTCACCGGAATCCAGTAAATGAACGATGGACCAGTTCCAGACCAGAGGCCGTTGTATCAACATCCCAGGATGCGTGCAACCAACCGCGAGAAAAGAAGATGGGCGCAATTGGTCAAGTGACGGATTGGGGGTTATAGATTTTAGCATAGGATAGGTAGCAAACACCAATCACTACTACATCCCCAGTCGTACCACAAGTGCAGTCCGTTGACCTATTTCTCTTAGTTAGACATGGCCAAGGTGCACTGACAATGTTAAAAGGCTATGGTGACAGGGGATGAACCGAAGTCGCCGTCGCATAAACTGTAGGCTACAGAAGGAAGGGCAGTAGTGGGGAAGAAGTGCAGGAAAAATTAGTGGAACAGAAAGAAGGGAGGAATCAGCAGTGGCCTGCGTTTGCTTCAGGCAACAGATGACGCAAGACGCTAGACGGTCGATGCACGATAACGCCGAATATGGCATAGTAGAGGGTGTAAGTGAGCAGGGATAAAAATGCTGTGGAACAATAGGCGTACTTAAATGGCTTTTGGCTTAATAGTTTATTCGCAAAGTTGAGTGGATAAGAGATTGGTCGTGGAGATTAGCCAACTCTAGGGAAAGGGATGCCGCTCCAGTTCAAGCCTCTAACCTTGGAGACCAACAGGCTGACTTTGTTCGCCCTCCATACCCTTAACCAAGCTGGTAGAGATAGTCCTAAGAGATTGCAAGAGGACCACTTAGTATAACTAATGGATCGAAGAGGTTGATTCAGGTGTCTTCTTCGGGAATAAGTTTTCGACGCATTTGTGGGGTGTCAATAAAAGGAACAGGCTAATTGGAGCCACATACCAGAGACAAGCATAGTGAGGGTCCGAATGAAGTCTGCCAACGTGGCAAACGTCGTCATTTTAACAGACAGCTACATAGTTAGATAGCGACAGCTGTAGGAGGATATAATGCCTAGTGGAATCAAGCGCGATGCAGCTTACCTGAAGTGAGTCTGCGACTGAGTTAAAAATTGTTTGCCAATATTGCAGTGAGGTGAACAGCATTGTTTCCCAATAGGGTTCTACATCCGACATGAAATAATCTGGCTATGAACCAAATAAGCGTCGAATCGTTGAGCGCCAATGCCTGATAAAGTCAACTGTCTCATGCTCACGGTAGAAAAATGACGGGCTGGCGAAGTGGGATGAAGTTGGCCAAGATGATCAACTAGCAGCTGTCAAACCAGCGTCCCACTTTACAAATGCACAAGTCCCAATCGCGGATTAAAGATAAAATCGGTGACTCAGTTGTACGAATGAAGCGAACAGTGCTGGTTGTCCCCACATTAAGTGGATACGATTGCGGTGATCGAGAGGAGTGAAAGTAACATCGAGGAAACCCGTTTCGGTTGAGCAAACTACTCTAGTTGGGACCCTCTCTAGCAGAGGGAAAGCACACAAAGATGTACGCTTCAATGCACACATCGCACTACGTTTGGTAAATATGCTCGAGCATATGCCGAAATCAAACTGGACTCACAGATAATAAATAATAAAATAATGTATCAACTGTACGCCGTAACGGCGTTTCGCTGCTGTGCGACTACCACCAGTCGCACGCGGGCTGAGTAAACCGCGAGGACGCCCACCCATACGCGGATTCGAACGCGCGCCGCAAGATTACGAGACAAGCTCGTTACCACTAGGCTAAGGACTAGCATAAATGCCGACATGAAAAAAGAAACAGTAGCGATCGATCAGCGGAGTGGATGAACCGATGAGCAAACTACAGAGTGTGTGGGGCAGCCACATAAAGTTTCAACCGGAGTTTGTGGTATACTTCAAAGCAAACCGTAGTTGGCTATATTGGTCGAGTAAGAGTGGCCTTTGACGTAGTCACTCGTCTAAGCGGACGATGAGTGACTAGTTCATAAAGATGGGGGCTAGACGGCTGGTCGATGTACTCGGTGCGATATTCTCATGCTGATCAGGGCGCCAACGTACAGGAGACGAATAAAAGACGCTGACCTAAGCTAGAAAGTAAGATGCTGCATACAGGCGGTGGCCATGTCCGACGGTGATTACGTGAGAGAGAAAGCAGAAAATAGTGTCCGGAATCGAGACGCAGTACACAGCGCCACATACGAGGTATCAGGGCAATCATTTTGCCTGGTTAACAAATCAAGCTGATTCAGTTGCAAACTAGACGCATTCAGTGTCTCGGTGGACGGCGAGACGACACTGAGGGTCGGTTAATGGAGCCGTGTCAGTGAGTCATAGTCGCATTATTGGGAAGAGTTGATGCGCTGGAACTGGGAAGTGGCTCCAAACCTGCATAAAGAGAATGGTACATCCTGGTATTGTGCGTAAACAGGGGATATCCATTTGATTTATGCTGTTGGGGTGCAGTTAAGGCGTAGTGAACACAGTCGCGACAGACAGATTGCGCTCAAAGTGAGCCTGCGTGCAAAAGACAAAGTTAAGAATAGCGATGCAGCAGCTCCGAGCAACAAAGATTAGTAACGGAATGCCAAAATGGCATCAAATAACATGTTAAAAAAGCGTGCCAGACGAGTGTGCGATCAAACCCAGAATCTGCTGAAACAGGAAATAAATTGCTAACACAGAATCTTCAAGTTAACCGAAAACGAAGCGGTTCGGTTAATAACGTACCTGATAAGCAAAGTCAAATAAAGGAATCAGTTCTCGAGATTCAATAATGCTGCCAAGTTCGCGCCACTGTTCGAAAGAAGGGTCGACACCGGTGGGGTTGTGTGCACAGGCATGAAGAAGTACCGTATGACCTTTCGGGATTGCGCTCAGGTCAGTCATGCATCCCGCCGCATCGAAACCACAGGTGTTCTGGTCGTAGTAGCGATAGTGATGAATATTCAGCCCACTGTGTCTGAATAAACCAGTACAAGTCGAACACAAGAGGTGGGGGGCATCATTTGGGATAGAGCAGTGGTAAAGCACGGTGTTAATAAAACAGTCAAAAAGGTCACAATGAATACAAATACATCCACCCTTAAAAATGATGTCTAGTAAAACGTCCGTGAATAGTAGCTCAATCGAAAAACGGAGTAACGAAGGTCACGTGAATCAAAGAAGAGGCACATCAATAATAACAGGAAAACTTAACCACAAAAGTGAAAGGAACAGTGATCATCATTTGAAATTAAGCAGTTCTCTGGCAGATGGATTATACATTAACATAACAAAAATGCTTGAGAACGATTTTCATGGCCAAAAGTGAATGTTAATGTTTGAGTCGCGGTATAATCGATCGGTTTAGGATCACAACACGCAATCCCAGAGTGGGCCACAATTTACCTCGAAATAAAACTCATTCAAAACGATCGCCGAACTTGTTAGATGTAATCCGCTCTCAAAGTTACATTACAACACCGATTTCTATTGTTTGGGTTCCTTAAGCAAAGGTAACGGAGATGGAAACGAGACTTGAGACTAATCGGGCTCTGTGCATGTATTAATACTAGGCAACGGAGCTCTGGTTCATTTATGCCAGTAATTCGAAAATTACTCTGAGCGCCTCTGCCTGAAAAGTGCCGACAAGGATGGGAATGGCGGCGTAATGTAAATTGGGAGCTTCGAAAGTAGAGATGCGCCGAAAGACTGTATCCACCGTACTCACTTTACAAAGGTAATGATGGATTTCCCAGGTCACTGAGTTCCAAGACTAGCTGAGATGCAGACCATCGATGTACCATGAACCAAGATGCCAAGTTGCAGTTTGTCATAAGTGTAACGCATGAGAATAACGAAACGCAAAAATGAGATGGGTAAAACATAACAATAATAGTAATAATAATCATAACAATAATGTGCCAGATGTAAGCCGTAACGGCGCTTCGCTTCCGCGCGACCATTAACAGTCGCGCGGGGGCTGAGTATAACGCGAGGACGCCCACCCCTACGCGGATTCGAACCGGGGACCTTATGGTTGCAAACCAGGTGCGCAGACCACTCGGCCACCGGCCGAAGGTAAAACAAGCAAAGCGCATTATTGAGACCTCCCACGCTGGTTGCATCTAGGCGGTACCGGGGCTATAACTAGCTCTGTTCTGGTTCATCTGGTTGATAGTGGGCATGAAGTCGACTTAATCCGCGCCTTTCGAATACTATACAGGGTTCCGCCACTCCAATCGAAAGGCCAGCGCCTCCGCACCCTCGCTACAGCCGAGGCAATCAGCATTCGGTTGTATCAACCGCTTTTGTGTTCAAAAAGGAAACCGCTCGAAGCTCTCAAACTACCCTGGCCAGAATAAATGGACGATTCGGACGCCACGAGCAATCATTTGACTACATCTTTGACCTAGTTTGCACTTATCATTTACATTTATTGCTGGTTTATGCCCCATGCTGAGGCTGATGTTGCATTTATGATGCCTCTTCACCGCAGTTGGGCTAAACCAACTTACACTTAAACTAGGTCTTTTTAATGTGGATAAAATTCGTTACATTTTATTTGGTTTGTTCTGCGTACTTGATAACCTTCTCCCAACTTGCACACGTCGCTCATGCAAATTGTGGTAAACTTGCGTAATTGTATCGCGTGGTATTTTTTAAATAACTCGGACATTTTGTACTTATCACGGATTTACTTATAACCAATTTCTTCTATATGCTCATTTAGCGAGTATTTATGTCGTCATATGCGTTTACTTTATTCGATATCGGCATTTTGAGTGATTGGCTGTTGTTTGACATCCCAGGTGTGGCTGCGCTTGATGTGCATGTTGACAAGGTGCCTACCTGTCTATTACCCACTACCTCGTCCATCTGGCTCCAGGAGACAGTTGGTCGCTGCTGGAGGGGACGAGGTGCACGGTCCTTGTGGTCGTGCTAGGCTAGAAGAGTGGTTCCATACACTCAGTGTGGAGCGGACTACGGTCCAGCCACCGCCTTGTGTGCGTTTGATTCCCCAACTACAGCGTGCTTGTGTTTGCCTGTGAAGGAGTGTGGGCCGGCTCCGTTGATGAAACGTGGCTCCCATCCACATGCCTCCCGGTCTTATTCCTTCGGGTTTACACTGGATATGGGGTGTGTGGATGGGGCTGTGGGTGGTGCAGCGCAAGCCACCCATGGTCCCTCTGTAGGCGCAGTCGTCCTGTGGCTGGCCACAGTGAGAGGCAAATCCGAAACCGGATGCCGACAACCATGCCTCCGGTTGGCACGTGATCTAATTTCATTTAAACTGATCAAAATCACTGTTATGCCTATGGCTTTGTGATTTATGATTGTAAGTCTACCGGTGAATTCATGGAAAACAATTGTTTTCCATCGGTCCCTTGTTCTTGATGATTAAATGGGAATTTTTCAGTTACTGAACTCGTCCAAGCCGCCCTAAATGGTGGAGGAGCTAAGTCAGTTCCTTAAGTTCTTCACTAGGTTTGCCGAAGCTATAACTTGCGTTCAGTTCTTCAATGATTGCATTAAACGTAACGAATATCTCAGAAGATTCTGGAAGCAATTGCGCCGCAGTCGGATCTATCATAACGCCAAAACGCTTAGACGACATGCTTTGAACCAGAGTGACACGGTGCAATCCAAAATTGCCGAATTCAAGCGCAAGATGGCGCAGCGCCAGCATGCGATTGATAAGTTAACGTTGGACGTGAAACAAATATTCCTGGATTACGTACAGTCTATCACCGCAAACTGTGAATGGCAAAGGCGTTTGGTCTTAACAGACGTTGAACTAGGTTAAGTCTCAAGCTACTTTCCCCAGTAGAACTGAGAGGTACGTGCATAACTTTTCAAGCCTGAAATTGAACTCCACTTTAATGGAAGTTCTGTCACTTGGTTTAAAATTTTGCGCCTTCAGACACAGAGATAATCAACTGCGCTGTGAGGTACAGTTTGAAAGCCTATTTGTTCAAGCAAAAGGGCTAGTAGCAAAGTCAAATGAGGACCTGGAACGCTTCAAATGTTCCCTGGTGAACAATTGCTACTAGTATCGTGTCATGCTCCAATGACACGCAAGCACTTTGATGCACTGAAGGATTTAAGGCGCAATGATAAGATTTTCCTGAGCAAACCAGACAAAGGCACCGTGGTCGTTCTATTGGACAAAGACGACTACATAAACAAGCTAGAAAGAATGCTGAGTGATGAAACAAAATTCTCCCGAACAATTGAAGAAAGGACCAAACGGAGCGAAGCGAAAAGCAGATTACCAAAAGCTTGTAAGAGCTTCGGAATAGCGGATACATCTAAAATAGTCTTCATGATAGCCTTAAGCCGAGTGGCGCGAATGTTCCGGGGCTTTACAGGTTACCTAAAATTCATAAGACTGATATCCCACTTCGCCCATTTTTATCAGTGGTTAATTCTACCTACCATGCTATTGCCCAATGGCCTGTGGAAATTCTTGAGCCAATAAGACAGCGACTTACACAATACAGCCTTGATGACACATTTCACTTCATTGAAAGCGTCAGGGACCGCAACCTCGGTAAGAAAATGTCTTCCTTGGATGTTGTCTCGTTTTGAACCAGGTACCAAGCCTCACTGTCAACCTTGCTTGGCTCAACTATTGACGGTGATCTCGATTCGCAGTGGGCGCATATCAAAGATGCTTCAGTGTATGCCAGTATCGACACTTGTGGAGTTGCCCGTCACTCACCGAAGCATTGGATTTCCGCCGTCTCCTTGTCGCTGAAGGACAAACGCCGCTTGATCCCGTCGGATTCCAGACACAGTGAAGGACGCCAATACCTTGGTCGAGAGTTGCGCAGGAGTCTGTAAATGGACCGCGAAGCTTGGTGGTGTGAACGTCCTAAGGAGATGGAGCTTGCTAGTCTCTCTGGTAATACCAGAAAACTTTTTCATTTCATTCGAGTCACTGAAGGTGTTGGATCTGGAATATGTGCAACAAAAAGCGAAGAGGATGGCACCTTAATCACCAATCTTCAACGACGGTTGGACCGATAGGCCGAACATTTGGGCTCGCAGTTTTGTTGGCCCCCAGCTCCATCTGCTACCACTGGCGCTCGCGCTGGGGCGGAGTAGTCTACCCCTACAGATCCTCCCTCTTACCAGGAACTCCGGCACATGAAGCGTTGTAAAGCCCCCGGCCCAGATAGTCTTCCTCCAGCTCTATTTAAAAATGGTGTCGCTTCGCTGGTTCGAGAACTCACCGCTTTGTTCTCAAAAGTTTGGTCGAAAGAGAAAGTTCCGTCATCTTGGGGTGAATCGATAGTCGTCCCTATCTTCAAAAAGGGTCTGCGCACAATCTGCTCCAACTACAGAGGCATAAGCTTAGTCCCCGTCGTTTGCAAGCTGCTGGTGTCCATCATACTTCGCAGGCTATCCCCAATGCGTGAATCGCTGCATCGAGAAGAACAAGCTGGGTTCCGCCCTGGTCGCGGCTGCATCGATCAAATCTTCACACTCCGCCAGATCCTCGAGCTCCGTCATGTGTATCAGAGGCCAACGATTGCTGTGTTCTTGGATATCCGTGCAGCCTTCGATTCTGTCGATCGGATGGTACTGTGGCACTGCCTACTGAGGAATGGTGTTCCCGAGAAGTCCGTCTCCATACTGCGCGCTCTCTATAGTCTGATCTCGGGCAGGGCTATGGCTTATGGCAAGCTTTCGCCTACCTTTGTGATCTCCAGTGGAGTTCAATAAGGATGCCCTATCGCTCAGTTCCTATTCAACTTTGCCATTGAGGATGTCCTGAAGAAGGCTCTGGGCGATTCGTTGAACGCTGGTGTTGAGGTCCTCCCAGGGAGTCGAGTTCTTGATTTGGATTATGCTGATGATATCGTCTTGCCGGGTGACGATCAACACGTCGTCCAACTTGTATTAAACCGTTTGACGATTGAAGCATCAAAGTATGGTATGTACTTTTCCCCATCCAAATGCAAGGCTCTCTTCTAAGACTGGCAGGTGCCTCTGCCTGCACTCACTCTTGGTGGTGAGACACTAGAGGTTGTGGAGAGCTTTGTCTACTTGGGAAGTTGCATCACTGTTGGCAGCGTTGTTGGAGACGAGATTTCGATGCACATCTCGAGAGGACGTCTCGCTTTTGCTAGGCTGAAGTATTTGTGTCGTCGCCACGACATTCGTCTCTCCATCAAAGGGCGGGTCTATTGTGCAACTGTTCATGCTGTACTGTTGTACGGATGCGAGACCTGACCCATTCGTAAAGATGACTTGTGCAGGCTATCCATCTTCAACCACCGCTGTCAGCGATTCATTGCCCGTGTGTGGTGGCAGCACCACGTAAGCAATGTGGAAGTTATACAGCGTGTCTTGGGACGTGGAAGCCACACGCTAGAGGAGTTGGTCTCACTGCATCAACTGCGGTGGTTGAGACACGTATTGCGCATGACTGTCACGGGTTACCCGCGTCGTGCGTTGTTTGCGGTTGCTGAACAGGGCCAAAAGAGACGGTTTGGTAGACAGTCTACAACAAGGAGAAGCCGCATAAAAAGCTGACGAAACAGTTGGCCTCGGCCGGTTGTTGTCAACTATCTGGTTGTGGTCCGACAGATGCAGATACCAGCTGGTTGAAGATCTTGGAAGCCATGGCTTAAGATTGCACTTGGAACATACAGTTCTTATTCAATGGCACTAACTACCGTCGAAAAGATGGTGTAGCCATGGGATCGTTACTAGGTCCGCTGCTGGCTGATGTCTTCACGGCGAAAGTAGAGAACTCCAAGCTACATGCGGAGATCACCACCTTTGATTGTTATCATCGCTATATATATGACATTTCGTTGTGGCCGATCAGTCCATTGACCTCGGCGCTGTTATTGAGCGCTTTAATCAGGCCCACGCAGCATTGCAGCTTACCTGCGAGAAGGAAGCGAACAACCGGTTGCCGTTCCTTGATGTATTGTTAACTCGTAGGGTAGATGGCTCGATCCAACGGAAAGTCTACAAGAATAAAACCTCCATAGTTTCGTTCCGGTGAAATACAAACGAAACCTAATTCGCTGTCTAACCACAAGGGCCCGCAGGATTTGTTCTGAAGACACGTTGGATATTGAGTTGGGGTTCATTCAAAATGTGCTGCGCGAAAACGGGTATCCTGATCGATTCATTCTTAAGAACATGCAAGACAAACCCGACCTGGAGCAGGTTCTAACAGCTGGGAAGCAAGAACTATTTATAAGATTACCTTTCAAAGGGGACTCAGCCGCCAAACATTTAGCCAGAAGCCTCTCAACAGCTGTTAAGCCAACTTTTTCAGCTGCTAAGCTCAAGTGAACTTTCTCAACGGAACCCCACATTCGTATTTGCAACAAAGACAAGTTGCCGATGCTGACCGCTTCTATGGTCATTTATCAGTTGGAGTGCGCTTGTCGGGCTACTTATATCTGTCGAAGGACGCGGCACTTGTCAAAGCGCATTAATGAGCACCTCCCACGCTGGTTGCGTCTAGGCGGTACCGAGGCTATAACTAGCTCTGCTCTGGTTCATCTGATTGATAGTGGGCATGAAGTCGACCCAATCCGCGCCTTTCGAATACTATACAGGGTTCCGCCACTCCAAGCGAAAGGCCTGCGCCTCCGCATCCTCGCTACAGCCGAGGCGATCAGCATTCGGTTGTATCAACCGCTTTTGTGTTCAAAAAAGAAACTGCTCGAAGCTCTCAAACTACCCTGGCCAGATAAAATGGACGATTCGGAGGCCACGAGTAATCATTTGACTACACTTTTGCCCTAGTTTGCGCTTGTCGTTTACGTTTATTGCTGGTTTATACCCCCGGTTGGCACGTGATCTAATTTCATTTGAACTGATCGAAATCACTGTTACTCCCATTGCTCTTGTACCCATATGACTGTAAAGGACTGACGACGAATTCATCGAAAACAATTGTTTACCTTCGATCCCTTGTTCTTGATAAAAAAATCATTGTACTGGACCCAACTAACACGGATACACTGAACGTGCATTCAAGGATTGGAACATCAGACCTTACAGGGAAAACAGTTGGCAATGTGTTCAAGGAAACAGCCATTATCCTCCGATGATTAAATAAATTAAAGGATTACAAGGTGATAAAAAGATGGTTTCTTTGAAGCCAAATGGAAATTGCAAAAGACTGGACATTCATAGCAATTCTCTCCAGAGGGATCTTAGTGGAAAGAGCGCGAGGAGCAATTTCAACTGGAAAATGGACAGTCACATGGGATAAACACAAAGGTTCAGCTCATGGGGGACCTATTGGTCGTAATATGTGGACGACATCGTTTCGAAGACGAGCAGTCGATTTAGTGTAAATTGTCACGAGCACTTGCATGCTTCAGCATGAGCCTTGTACCTTCGAAGTATATGACGTTGTTGCGGGTAAACAACCATCTTCTGCCATTGGAAGATTGACAACTGTGGGTGAACGACCGATTTATGTACCTTGGCAGCTGCACCAGCACTGACGGGTGTAAGGCCGCTGAAATTATCCCACGTAAAAAGCGAGAACTATCCTCATGAATCTGTGCCGTTTTTGAAGCCTGAGTGGCATTTCTCTCGCCCTGAGGGAACGTGCTCACGGGACCACAGTGAAACAGCGAGATGGTAGCAAGTTATGGCTGCTTCGGTTTGAGAACCCAACACGTAGTTGAGTCTTCGGTTGTCAGCGTGTGCGAAGCACTTCTAAAGCCGGGCGGCAACGGTGTCCGAAATCGTGGGAAGCAAAAGTGAAAGCCCAAACGGCGATGCCCATGCCAGTAGATTCGGTTAAGTGCTATGCATATTGCTAGCCTACTGCTTACCGATTACGGCCATGACTGGTTTACCGGATGTAGGATGATTCGATGGGGAAGAACAGCTGTCCTGGTGAGGGCAGTAGTTAACTAAATATGAACTGAGGTGAACATTGATGGCTCGTCTCGAATTCCATGCCACGGCACATGTGTCCCAATCCTGTGTGTAGTCCGAGGCCACGGAATATAGCCAGCAACCGACACTAGTGGCCTATTTGCAATCGTTTACTGACGGGAGTACCTGATGAATTAGTGTATGGTATTGAGTAATAAGTGAAGTGCGGTTGATTGTATTGCGAGGCAATGAAGGCTGTAAGAAAGGTGTCTCATCGATATCCCCACTTAAATAAATAAATAAATATTTTGTTCTCGACTGTCTGTGTCCTATCGTCGCCGGTAATAAAGAAGCGCCTTGACCCCGGAAGCTTGCCATAGTTATGTAGACAATGCTGATGATGGCGGTTGTCGGATTTCGATACGTACTCAATCAGAGAGTTCAACGTGTTCATGTGGTGACACGTGCCGGCCCGTAGCCTAAAGGTAACAAGTTTGTCTTGTACTCTGACGGCCGGTGGCCGAGTGGTCTGCACGCTTGCTTTGCAACCATAAGGTCACAGGTTCGAATCCGCGTAGGGGTGAGCGTCCTTGCGGTATACTCAGCCCGCGCGCGACTGGTGGTGGTCGCGCGGCAGCGAAGCGCGGTTTACGGCGTACAGCTGACACATTATTTATTTTATTTATTTAGGAGCAGGGCGATCCTCGCATTATCCTTAGCCCGCATACGACCAGTGGTGGGTGCGCGGCAACGAAGTGTCGATACCGCGTACCGGCGTACTGCTGATGATTTTATGTGGTCACACACAATGCTGATCGGTTAGGATTGGAACCAGTGGCACACAGAGGCAGCATGAAGTTCGTAATCCACACGCAGTGGCCGGTACATCTGATGATGCGGCTCAGTGCCGGACACCGTACAGGCCGACAACATGACTGAGTATATCATAGGCAATTATCGATGGTCGTAGGAACAGTCTAACTTCACGACGACCGAGTAGTGGTAACTCGATTTGAGCAAAATGCACAAGACTGGGGTAATTCGCAGAGTTTTATCCCAGCGTAATTTACTCGCACAACTAAGGTGAATACGGTAAAAATAATAACGGACCGAAATAATGAGGAACAAAGCAAAGGGAAAGTATGTGTCAATGGAGGACAGAGGTAGTCACCATAGCATGGATGTGATTAAAATGAAACGCTTACGTGAAAATGGAGCTGTGGTTGCCCCAAGTAGGTGTTGGCATCCAAATATCCTTTTGCAATCCGAATTTATGCTACAACAGAGGTGGGAAGTGACAGTCGGCTGTGTGACTGATGCAAAGTTGGGATGAACCGTATGCCCCCCCCTCAGCACCCACGTGGAAAGGTTGTAAGTGAGGTTAGTATGTTTGGGCAGTGAAATGCGGATGATGAATGTCACAAGTGCGCCCACTTGACTAATTGAAATAAATAGTGCATAAGATACTCCTATCATGGATAAGAGAAAAACAGGTAATAAAGAAGACACAGAACATCAGCAGTACGCTGGTATGTCATATGGATACATCACCGTTATCTAACCGCCACTAGTCGCATGCGGGCTAGCGATAATCCGAGAACACCCACAGTCACGAAGCAACCTGAATCGATAAGCTATTGGCAGTCCACCACACTTAACAACGAGGTCGAAAACAGATCAGAAGCTTAAGCTCGGGAATGAGTTTCATGAGAGTAAATATCATAAAGGGGAACAACGACGGGTGGGAACGAAATCAATTGTTTGGTTCTACAAGAATCCGTTTAAAAGACGGAATTCGCATATGCGTTATTGTTTCGCCTTCAGATGTCACTACAGCCCACCAAGTTGACCGAAAAATAGCGTGAATGCAAGATCATAGTTTCGAGGCGAGTATGTGACAAAGTGACTAGTTACTTACCAAAAAGGCGCCGGCTAAACGTAAAGCTCCCGTACCGGAGATTGATTGAACGGTGGCGTTCTGTCCAACATTAAAACATGGAATAAAAAAATAAAAGTGCTGGGTTGACATGTTGCACTTTAAACATGTTCTGACCAAATAAGTGTATGGGTCAAAGGAGGTATGAAGTTGCCGGTAGGCAGAAAGCGATGACGAAGTTTGGAGTTGATGGAGGCAAAGCTCTTCTTTTATGAAACCCTAAAACGGCGTAGGATAAATTTCTACGAGGAGTACAGAGTTTAACTATTGCCGTCAATCACCGGTAGAACTAGCAAGCAGTGGATTCCAAAGCGAGTCAGATGGTGTCTAGAAAGAAAATTTTTTGAAACTATCATTCAGCGGGGAATAGCGGCTACCCAGTTCTACTACGGTCAATATGGAATGAGAGAAAAGAACGTAAAGCCAAGCGAAAGGTCGAAATTACTGCGGAAATTCTAACCCATTTGCTTGTAATCAGGTGTGGCCAAAATGAGGGTCTAGCGCACCAGTAGCCCAATAGTGAAATCGGACCGTAGATGTACATCGGCATCAAACAAATGAGTACCTAATCCTTCTGTTCCTATGCAGCAGGAAACATGGGTTGTAAGAGAGGGCGCCACCTTACAGAGTTAACAACATCATCCAGTTAGGCTCGGGAGTGGGAGTCAAAAGTGACCACCTCATCTACAGCTGTCAACCTGGCCAATACATGCTAAATTGGAACATTATCGGATGCTCATCGGATGAAGCATAGCACTTCAGAAAAAGAAAGATCAAAGTAAGCCGGCGTCTAGTAGCGATATGCAGAAAGATATGCAAAAGCTCTGTTACGTGAGAGTAAGGACAATGAATGGGTAATCTAGTAAAATCGAAAATGGAACTTCTGGGGATTACACAGAGGATGTGTGCCTCACACAATTCGGATTTAGGTCAAAAACTCGTGATGGATCTAATAAGTACTGATAAACGAAAAACAAATAACAAAAATAAATAAAAATAAAATCTAATATTGATATTCACATAAGAAATGTGGTAAGATAAAGCAAAGAATTGCTTTTGACTCATTCATCGAAATTATACAAGGATAAATATCGGAACAATGTCGGACATTAGTCGTCGGTACAAGAAAGAAATAACTGAGTTGATTGCTTAAAGTGATCACAATGTAAGGAAGCCAACCATGTGATCGAAGTCAAGTGGCTGAAGGGAGGCGAAAGTTCGTGATACAACTATTTGGCCTGAAGCACAATAACCCATCGCACTGAGGCTGGGCCTTACCGTGGTGCGATGGTTTGTGTGCCTCAGTGATCCATTGAGCTATGCTGGGTGGTGCTTTTGCACCTTCATAGTCATTCATACCACATTGGTCAATGGTTAGAGGCCAGACAAACTCAGCCTAGTGGTCCTCCACGTTCGGAATTGGAATGAGGGTAGCACCTTATTCCTTAAAACGTCCTTGTAGCCCAACGCCAAATCCGCTGCCTTGCGGTAAGGTTTTTGAACCAAAGACTTTGGTTGAGAACCCAAATTGTGATCCTGTCTAGATATGGGCAACTTGACAGTATTCTGCCCAGGCAATACAATGAACCTCTCTTCAAACAAATTTCTGATGCTCTGGCCACCGCAGAGGATAATCAACGGTGCCCTATCTGCTGCATCGAGCAGGGTGGATAGGGGTTTGGACGATACTGCTCAAGCCTTACCGTATTCTTATTCCTCCTCTTACGCTTTTCACCCTCATCGTCAGGTTCCAACTTCACTTTTATCCCCCTGTTTTCAAGCCCCCGATTCTTGGCCCTCCCCCAACATGCTTTGCTAAGCGTTTATCTTATAATTTCAACTCACATGCTAACGCGCAGCGTCACTCCCCTCCTGTCCACAAGCCCATGTCCAACCACGCGGTCCATTCCAGTTCAGCGGCTTCCATTTGGAGCCATCGATCCACCTTCAGATTGGCATGCCTCAATTTACGCACATTACTGCAGATCGGTCAACAGGCAGCACTTACCCGAACATTGGAGACCCTATCGATCGATATCTGCTGCTTATCGGAGACCCGCCTGCAAGACTCGAGCTCTGTGCTCACTCTGCGATCCCCTCCAGGTTACGCGAGCAGTATTTTCTCATGGCACCTATCCGGTGACGATGCAGCTTCGAGCACCGGCCAAGCTGGTGTTGGTATTGCCCTGAGTCCCCGGGCTGAAGCTGCTCTGGTTGATTGGATTCCAATCAGTAGCCGGATTTGTGCGGTCCGGTTAGCTGGCTCGTCCAAAGCTTCGAAGTCGCGCGGGACTAAGAGGTGTCTATTCATCATCGCTGCCTACGCGCCCAAAAACGGTAGCGATTATTCGGTAAAGAACGACTTCTACCGCCAAATGACCCAGCCCCTTCGCGACAGAAGAAGCACGGACACTGTTGTGCTGGCGGGGCATCTGAACGCACAAGTAGGAAAGTTGTCCACTAATGAACTGCATCTGGGCGATCAAAATTGTGTAGGCTCCTGTATTGATAACGGTGAGCGGTTACTTCATTTGTGTGAAGATGCTCGCTTATTTCTTGCGAGCACTAACTTCCGACACAGCACTCACCGGGAGGTGACTTGGCGCCCGCCAGCCTTAACGCAAATCGATCACATTGCAATCACTTACCGCTGTAGAGACTGCATCCAGAACTATCAATCGATTTGGAGCACATGTGTGCACACCGATCATGCACTTGTATGTGCTGACATGCGGATGCGTTTTGGCGGACGCCCACGACGCTGAGAGCGCATTGACACCAGCCAACTGACAAAGCCAGCTCTTCAGAATGCCTATCAAAGTAGCTGCCAGGAGATTCGAGTAAGCGCGTATTGGAGACAATTGAAGGTCACTGGTGTCATATTCAGCAGATAGTACAAGCAGCAAGAAAATCCTCATGTGGTAAGTGTAATAGTCAACATGGACATTGGGTCTCTTCGCGGTCTCTGGAACTTATCGATGCTCGTCGGCATATCCCGGCTGGAAGCGAACACAATGAAACTCGCAAAGAGCTCCGGGCAAGACTCCGTGCTAGCCTGAAGAAAGACCGCGAATCTTGGTGGTCTCGTCGTGCGTCAGAGATGGAAGTGGTCGCTGCCGTCTGTTACGGGAAACGAGCAGCAAGAGACCTGGTGTTAGTGAAACTATACGTGACGAGAGTGGACAGTCTATCCACAATTTGTCAAAGCGTTTGGAGCGTTGGGCTTAGCATTCTGGAAAGCAATTTAATCGGCCAGAATTGTTCGATTATTCGCCGGCCAGTGATCACCCTGCTCCGTGGACTGTCCCTTTGGATCCACCCTCTTGCTCAGAAGTCGAACGTGAGATAAGTTGAACAAAGCCGAGGGACCAGGTGATTTTCATCCAGCCCTTTACAAATTCTACTCTTATTGATGATTTACATGAATTACTAGTGAAACTGTGGGAGCAGGGGAATGTCCCAACCGACTGGAGCCGCTCCGTTGTTGTTCTCATCTTCAAAGGACGCTCGCGTTCGGAATGCGGCAAACATAGAGGAATCAGTCTGATCTTCATTGCCTCCAAATTACTCGCCTCCATAATCCTTCACAGATTGACTGGCGCCCGTGAAAGCCAGATTCGTGAGGAGCAAGCCGGGTTTCGTCAGGGTCGTGGCTGCATCGACCACATCTTCACCTTGCGTCAGTTGTTGGAGCACCGTCACACATATTGGCGGCCCACCGTAGTCGTGTTTCTCGATATCAAAGGTGCCTTCGATTCGGCTGGTCGATGTGCACTTTGGAACTGTCTACTTAGGAAAAGTATGCCCGAGAAATATGTAAATATTATCCGAGAATTCTACGCGCGTAGCTCGGGCAGAGTAAGGGCTTACGACAAGCTGTCGCCACCCTTCAATATCTCCAGGCGTGTGAGACAAGGATGCCCGTTGTCACCTTTCCTCTTCAACTTCGTTATTGACGAAGTCATAGAGTTTGCATTTAGAGGACATGAATTAAAGGTGTGGAGCTACTCCCAGGAGAACAACTTCTTGACTTGGAGTATGCAGACGACATTGCCCTCATCTGTGACAGCTCCCAGACGTGCCAAGCCGCGTTGAACAGATTAGCACTAGCTGTCAGCCGCTTCGGGCTTTGCTTTGCACCATCGAAGTGCAAAGCGTTCCTCCAAGATTGGCAGGGATCGACTTCTGTGCTGACCCTTGATGGGGATCGTTCAGAAATTCAATTACCTGGGAAACTGTATCAGCGCCCTTGGGAATCAAGATGAGATCACGAGCCGTAGATCAAAAGCTCGAAGTGCTTTTGCTAACCTTCGCCATCTATGGCAGCGGCGGCGCGACATCACTCTCGCCCTGAAGGGTACAGTGTACTGTACGGTTGCGAAACCTGACCCCTAAGATCGGTGGACTTAAAGAAGCTAGTTATGTTCGAATATCGGTGCTTTCGCAGTTTGGCTGACATCTGGTGGGAACACCGCGTGAGTAACGAGCGTGTTCGACGCCTTGTTTACGGCACAGGAAAAGGAACTGAACCGCTCAGCACCGTCACATTACGCACCAGGGTCCGATGGCTGGGCCAAGTGCTGCGCATGCCAGCCCACCGACTTCCGCGACGTGCGTTGTTTGCTCACCTGGGATGTGGATGTAAGAAGAGGTGGAATAGCCAAACGATGACTTGGTCCAGAGGAATGAAGGCCCTCACTTCGGAGCTGGCCTCGGTTGGAGCGTCACGGCTCCCTGGTTGGGGTCCAAAAGACGATGAACACGTTTGGCTAGATACACTTGCTGACATGGCAAGGAGCCGACCTCAGTCGCGTTCGTGCTGTGAGTTTCTTTGTCCCTCTCTATCCCTTTTAGCGTCCACCTGCAACCACGATCTCATTTCGTAGCGTAATATAATCTTACATAAGAATTTTTCTTTTTGCCTAGTAGCCGGCTGGTAGCTTACCGGAACGATGCCTATCCGTTGCTGGTAGCTCAGCTGGCATGCAACTGTTGTATTTATTTTCCTTTTCCTTTATGTATTGCGGCACAGTAGCTGAGGT